AGTTTTGCTTCATTTACACAAGGTTTTTTGATTGTTATAACTAAATTAATATTAAATAGAATTAACAAAACAATTTTACATAATAAAAATCAATATTGTTCCTTTGAATTGAATTTATACACCAGGTGATAAATTTTTCAAAGAAAATAAGTGTAGAGATAAAATAACAAAAAAGATTAAATGATGTTTAGAATATTTATATTTATGTAAGAAATGCTAAAGATAAAAAAGTAAATTATGGATTTTTAGGTAATTGAGTCATTGGGAATCAATAATTTCTTGATTTTATTGGATTAATCAAAAAAGTAATTTTATGAATTTTTATTAATATAGAGGATTAAAAATGAATTAGGAATAACCATGGTTAAAATATAATTCAATGTTAAACTGAATGGATCATTTTGAAAAGTAATTATAATTCATCATTTCAACACAGAGATTTCAGTTGAATAAAATTAAATTTTCCAATTAGCAATAAAGAAGTTTATTTATAAATTAATCATAACTGGCATGATGAATATATATTTAGTTTGAAACATAATTAAATAATAATTTGACCTCTCAGATCTCATCCAAATTAATAATCAAATTAATTCAGCTGACTTAATCTCACAGATATTAAATTATATACTTTTTAGAAAAATTTAAATTGGATATATTAAATGTAGAAAAATGAATTATGAATAACAGGTAAAGGTAAAAGGTAATTTGAACGTTTTTCTAGTAATTTTTAATATTAAATTCTTTATTTAATTTTCTATAATTTTAAGGTAATTATTGAGTAATATATTTGACTAATTAATCTACCTCAGCAAAGCCTAAAAGAAATGATTAATATTTAAATGAGTGAACATTAAATTATTTATAGGTATTTGAATGTATATTAGATATTAAATATTAAAATATGATTTAGTAATGTAATTTAAAGTTAAAATGTTAAAAAGATGATCATTAAGATGAGATAGACACGGTTTGTTACAATCAGTTTTGTTAAGAATTCAGATTAAATTGCTTAAAATGTATGAAGAAGGGAGGAATCCATAATGATCATTTTGATGATGTTGAAAAAATTAACAGCTTGATTCAATTCATTGATTAGAAAAATTAGGAATGTGATAAATTAATTGATGATCTTAATAAATTAGAAAAAATTATGAATCAATCATTTTCTTAATTAAAAAGAGGAATCATATAAAAATATTAATTATATAAGGAAAGATTAGTATAATTGAACTCTTAATAAATAAATTATTATTTGAATTCAACAATCTAATTTAAAGAATATTAATAATCAATTACAAAAATAATTTAAGAATAGACTAATAAATTAAATCACTCATTAAATAATTTATATGAATAATTAACATTATCATAATTTAATTATTATTAGATTGATAATGATTCTATATTATTATCTAAACAATTATATGATAAAGGTATTCATCTTATTATAATTATTAGGTTAGAAATTATATTGGGAATATAAATATGATGAAGCCATAGAAGTACTAGATAAATCTATATAATAATATCAAAATAATCATCAATCATTATGGTGTAAAGGTTAAATAATATTTTAATTAATAGGTGAG